TCTAGGCTGGCTGCTGCTAGTGCTGGTCCTGGGGCTCACTGAGGCCAACTGTTGCTATTTGATAGGATTTAGAAAGTTGTAAAGCACTAGGCAAGACCAGCCATTCATATGGAAAAGCAGTTTGGGTGGCTCGATAAGTTGGATGGGGCAGAGTCTCTAGGGATCTCCAAGGAGGGCCAAACAGTGTTAACCAGGTTGATGGGAATCTCAAATATGGCACTAGCTTGCTGGCTCTGAGGGGGTAGGGTTTAGAAAAGGGACAGTGGCCTCTGATGCCAAACACTCCAGTTTAACCACTGGTGCCTTTCATGCTGCTACCCTGGTACTAGACCTCAGAAGGAGTGAGTCTGTATGAGTGAGTCCATGTGTGGGTCCTTTAAGAGGAACTGCTTGAGGCTCTAGCAATTTCTTTCACAGACTGAACCCTGGTTGATTTTTTGCAACCAGAAGTTGTGAGGACTTATCTTCATGGCCCTGGAACTCTGGGTTGGGGCCTGGTATGAGGCTGGAACTCCTTGCTCCCAAGATATCCCAAATTTTTATCCACCATACATGAATAAGGGACCAGGCTAGTCCTCCAACCAGTCTGGATGGATGTGGTTTCTTTAATTCTGTAGTTGTCAGATTTCCATTCAACTTGATTTCTGATAGTTCTGAGTGATGGTGGTTCTGTATTTTAGTTATAATTTTGATGTGGTTGTGCAAAGAGGTGAGCCATGTCTGTGTATACCGCCATCTTGACCAGAAGTCGCTTAGGTTTTATAATAACATTGATCAAGCATTAAGTCTCTACCAGGGAACAGCAGCTCTAAGGAAGTAGCTTGAGAGGCAAAGGAAAGAGGAAGAGGAATAAATAGAAAGAGGCCTTACAAGTCTGGTTGTTAGAAATAGATTGAGAAACATAATTAAATTCAGAAGTAAGGGCTAAGAAGGCACCTGTAGTGACGACATGCCTTCTCCAGCCTTCTCCTGTGTGCCAATAATACAAATACAGGCAAACAAAGTTTCTCTGTAATTCTCCCTTTCGGTGTTCTCTTTCTGACTGTATCATGGAAAGAATCTAGTCGTTAATTCTCCCCACATTCTTTCTTTTGGTTCACACTTTGCTTCTTCAGCTCCTTGTGCCTCCATCCATTTAGGGGTTAAAGTGTTCTTTCTAAAATTCTACTATACCATAGCATGTTTCTTTTTTACCTTTTATTGTAGTAATTTTCAAAATAAAATGACCTCCATCTACCCATCATCCAGCTTCAACAATTATCAACATGTATCCAGTCTGTTTCGTTGTACCCCACCACCTATCATTTCTTCCTGTACCCTCTACCTCTTGATTATTTTTAAAGCTAATACAAGATATTATGTCATTTATGATTTCATCTGAAAATATTTTGTTATACATTTCTAAGGTATAAGAACTGAAAAAAACAACACGATGGCACTTAAAAATTAATAATTCCTTAATATCTTCAAATATCCAGTCAGTGTCTACTTTTCCTAATTGCATTTTTTTTCCTTTTATGTATGTGATGGTTATTGTTTTTGCATTACAGTTTGTCTAAATCAGGTTCTAAATAAGTTCCATGTACTGAAATTGGTTGGTGTATCTCTGAAATCTATTTTAATGTATAGATTATCTTTCATGCACTGGAGTTCTCTCTTTTCTCTCTTCCTTCCCCTTTTCTCCTTCAATTTTTTGATAAAGAAACTATGTAATTTGTTTTGTAGATTTTCCCACACTCCGTATCTTGCTAATTATATTTCCTTGTTGTTTAACATATGCCTGTATTCTGTGTATTTCCTGAAAATTGATAATTAGATGTGGAGGCTTAATCAGATTCAGCTTAGATTTTCATTTTCTTCCTCTTCTTTCTTTAATACAAACTACTCCATAGGTGATATTGTATGCAACCATCAGGTAAATGAGTCTGTTTCCATCATTTCTTCATTTTTTTTTAACCATAACACTTCTATAGAGAAAAACTTCCCTTCATCATATTTTTAGTTTGTTTATCCTATGGTACAGAATATAATAGGAAAGGCAGTATAAATGCTTGGTTCTTTTTCCTTAATTATCAGTTTTCAAAAGGAGTTGGTTCCCTAGGATTTACTGACAATGACCCACCAAATGTTTTTTTCACTATAAACTTTAAACATATTTATATTTTAATTCATTGTACTCATTGTCCCTGTCAATATTCAAATTAGCCTGTCTTTGGCCAGGGTAAGGCCCTTAAATGGGCCTAGTGATCTTCAGTAGCACCAAGCTTTCTAGTGTAACAGCTGGGTCCAGGTTCATCTTGTATACTTCCTCCTCTGGACTTGAAGTTTTTCATTTTTCAAAGAACCCTTTGGAGAAAATCGCACCTGTGGGAGAAATAGCACCATACATTGGATTCTTTTAGTAGGAAATAATGATACTAGCATTTTTGGTGCCAGTATTTTGGGGATATGCTGTCATTTCATTTCTTAGCAGCTGGATACGCTGCTGTATGCCTAACACCTCTATTACAAGTTTTCTGACCCTGCCCTCTCCCATGTCTCTGCTTGCTAGTAACTAATGATTATATACTCTCTTTACCCCCTAAATTTCTCAGAACATCTTAAATTTATCAAATGAGCAGATTTCAATAAAGGTGAAGGATCAGAAGGAAATATTTAGAATTGACTTTTAACTATCTTCTCACCATCCTTCCTTCCAACTCTAGAGAGTCAGGGCTTTCAGAGAAGATGGAAAAAAAATCACATAAAAATGCTTAAAACTCAACAATGCCAACAATAACTTTTTTTTAGATTACGAATTAAAACAGGAAAATTGTACCTTTAGAGTGGAAAAGTCTGGCAGGTACTCCCTTAGCCAAGTGATCAAAGTTAATTTCATTAATAATAGGACAAATCAACATCATTTGCCCATACTCTGTACGCCACTTATGTAGTATTACTACCAAAAACATATTACCTGAATCATGAGGAAACGATCAGTCAAACCCAGAATGAGGAACACTCTGTAATATGGTAAACCTGTGCTCTTCAAAAATGTCAACATCAGAAAAGACAAGTGTGAGAAACTGTTCCATATAAAAGAGACTGAACCAATATGACAGCCAAGTAAATACCAGGTAGGATCCTGGAGTTGGGAGGACAAGACAAGGTTGCTACCAAAGACAATATTGGGACAACTGGAATATTTGAATATGGACTCGATATTGAATAGTATTTTAGCAATGTTGAATTTCCCAATTTTGAAAGCTAAACTGGTTATATAAGAGTATGTCCTTGTTCTTAGGAGAAATACAGTGAAGTATTTATTGCTAGAAAGAGAATTTATGGTATTTGTTATATATTCCATATATACAGAAAGAAAGAAAAATGAACAATGAATGAATGGATGAATCTAGGTAAAAGATGTGGTTTTCTTGCATTATTTTTGTAACTTTTCTGTATATCTAAAATTTTTAAATCATTTCTTTAGGAAAAATCAAATAATTTATTTTCATTATTTAATTTTATTTTTCTATAGCTTAGTTTTGTTTTTTTACATTTTAATTGTATTTCATTTATTTTAATAAGATTTAATTATATATACGATTTACAAGATATTTTATAATGTTTACAGATTTTTATACTTGAAATGCTTTTTCTTTTATTCCACAGTTTATTTTATGAATTCTTGACTTAAAAAATAAAATACCACCATTATATAAATAAATAAATATCGAAATACCAATATTATTATTAGGCTTCTATATTTTAGTCACTAATCGCAGTGAGAACCTTTAACTCTTGAAATAGACAAGTTCCACTTCAGGGAATTACTGAAAGAGCTGAAATCAAAAAGATCCACCTGATAATGTAAGCCTGTAGTTAATTTTTTTAAGATTATGTTTCTAACTTAACCTTGTTGCTCCCCATTTCTCTATCAACCACCTCACAAATGTTTGAGGACATAGATTGATTAAGAGAGTGTTTGTGGTTGCTTTGTGAGGTGTTTTATGTTTGTTTGTTTTTGAGATTTTAGACATGTGCAAAACCGAAATCTCCTGTGGCAGTTGGAGTCAGTGTGGAAAGCCACAGCCAGGTTTGTTAGTGCCAAAAAGGAGAAGCTTGAAACGCTACCCCTACAGTGTACCTGGGTTATATTGCAGCAGTCAGAGAGTCCAGGGCCGTGTCTTTGACTCCTTCTGTGTACGTCAGTGCTAACATCTTGTGTGCAAGGTGATTGCCTTCTATAAAACCTGTTAGAGTTCGAGGACGCTGACAGTGTACATGCCCTTAGAATACTGAGCACAGCCTGGCCGTTCCCTCATGCCTGTGATAAAAAAAAAAATTCAGTTCTATTGAACCTGTGTCTTCTTGCCATTAGGTTGATGATTGGGTATGTTCCATTTTGTCATCGACCCCCCGTGTTTGACTTTTTTTAAAAAAAAATATGTGGTGGTGTTAGCAGTGAGTTGGAGACTAAAATTTTTCCACTTCACTTTGTTCAGAATTAAACTAAAAAAACACATTGTTTGTAATCATGAGAAACTAAAAATAACCTTTATACCCACTAATAGGAAAATGAGTTACAGTGTACGTATGTAATTGTGAGGTGACTGAAGAGACTGAGGTCGGTCCATATTTTACAGTTCGGAAAGAGTTCTAAAACATGTTACCGGGCGAAAGCAACTTGCTGAACAATACTTACTTATGGATTTTTAAATACTTGTATTTATATTGTGTACATGAATGTAAGTGCTCAGGATACATGACTTAAAAAAGAAACCCTAAACTGTTCAATAATGTAGAGACTTGGGGGCAGAGGGAGGGCAGGGAGAAATGAACTCGTCCATCTACATATTGTACAGTTTTGTGTGTCTGCCATTTTTAAAGCACCAAAATATATGTAAATGTATCACTGTGTACTTACAGTAATTAATGTGGATTGCAACTTCACTATGTAAATATTACAAAGGAGTGGATATAATCTAATCAGTGCAAATGATATAATTCCTTTTAAATAGCTGATATGCATTCAGGACGGTTACCTTTCCCTGCTGACAGAAACTGGTGAAGTTCGAGAGGATCTTAAGCTGCCAGAAGGTGAACTAGGCAAAGAAATAGAAGGAAAGTACAATGCAGGTGAAGATGTACAGGTAAATACCTATGGGGAGACTATTTTTTAAAATCATTTTATAAAAATTTGGTGTCAACTAGTTTGCACTGAAAGGCAGCTTTTAAATACTGCTGAAGTGTTGACCCAGTATCAAAGTATCAAAGTTAAGTTTTTTACTACATAGATACCGTCAGCCTCACATTTGTCTTGAAGATCAGCATTTGAGAGGTTTTGTGAAATATTTACATGAAAGGCAGCTTTTAAATACTGCTGAAGTGTTGACCCAGTATCAAAGTATCAAAGTTAAGTTTTTTACTACATAGATACCGTCAGCCTCACATTTGTCTTGAAGATCAGCATTTGAGAGGTTTTGTAAGTGTGAGAAAGGATGCTGTGGAAATACGTAGCATCTAATAAGCACTGAAACATGCATAGCTCCTATTCTCCCTGTTTCCTGGAAGTTGTTTTAAAAACCACAATGTGTGACATTTCACTTTAGGAAACTATTAGAAAGTAAATTATTTGGTCTTGGAATACCTCTTTCCAAAGTTAATATGTATAAAATATCCAAGAATATACAGTATATCTTGAATTAAATGTATCTTATGTGTGTATTGCCTTCTGAATAACTGTGCCTGCATTTTTCCCCTGGTAGGTGTCTGTCATGTGTGCAATGAGTGAAGAATATGCCGTAGCCATAAAGCCGTGCAAATAGACAGCAACATCGGGCGTGAGCAAACTGCTTAGGTCTGAGTCAGCTGCAGATCTCAAGTGTGGTTCTAAGTTGTCACCAAAGCTATGGCCTTCATAAGCAACCTCATGTATCGTTTCATTGTTTTGAAATTGTGCTCAGTTAGTTTTGCTGACAATTAGTAATTTAAAAAAATAATCAAGGTGTATAATTTTTTAAATTAGTTTGTAGGTATTTTTCCTGTAACATTCCTATGGTTTTTCAGTATGTGAGTCCAAGAAACAGACAAGGTAGTTTCAATAGATGTGATTTGTCCAAGCAGTCATTCCTGAATTTTAGTTAAATGATAAGTAAACCAGGGTTTTCAATCAAACAATGTAGCATCTAGTGGTATTAAAGTACCGCACTTAAGTTGGATTGCTCTGCATTAGTTTCAGATGTAATATCACAGCAGAGTAAGTAGATTATAGATTGGAACTGTCACAGTTTTAGCCTATGTGTGGCAAGCACAAATGCTTAAACAAAAATCATGTTATCAAAAAGTATCAGTTATCTTAGTAGCCATGTGCCACACCCCGTATCACCTCAGTCTTACTGTTCTTTGCCAAATTGTTGGCCAACTTAATATAACCTTATATATGGTGATTTTCATACCTGCTTGTGTTTGACAGGCATGAAACTGTTGGGTAACTGTTAGCAAGTCATATTGTGAAGAAGGTACAAGGGACAGTGGTAAAATGAGTTGGTTAAAGCTATAGGTTTTTATTCAGGCCTTTGTAGTCAGCATAAAAATAGAAATGTTTGAGATGTACTTTTGCTTATAACTTTCACATTTCTCTCCCTCCTGCTCTCCCCCTGCTCTTTGTCTCTCTGTATATTTAAAGGAGTGACCTGCTTTGTAGGATACTATGCAGTGCTTTTTATGAATTATGTTGATAAATGTTATTTATAGTACTCATTCTTTTCCAACCATTTGTAAGTAGACTTTTTTGACATCAAAATATTTATTTGTCAGACAAAAACTGGAATTCTTATTTCAAATTGATTTGGAACATTTGTTAAAAGTATGTACATTTTTTCAAAAGTGAAATGAAAGTGAATTATGGAAGAAAAGTTACTATATGTGATAATCATTAATTTAAAAAATACATATATGTATTTTTCTGATTGTCATGTGTAATTCAGTTCTCATATGAAATATAACTAGGAAAGATTTCTATAAATCTAAATTATTTTTAAAAGTGTTTTAGGTGACTTTGCTACATTCCTCTTTGGTTGTTTGGGTCATAAATACTTTATTTCCAGAATTCTAAATATTGTCATAGGATTTGTGAGGACCTTTGACTCAATAACAATGATTGTATCAGAGTGAAACTTAGAAACAAGTTACTGTTTGAGCAATACCTTCATTCTCTCAGACTGATTGTGAGACCCCTCCCATCATGCCTTGACTTTTCCAGCGCCTTTATTCCTATCATCTAGAGGCAACTATAAGTGATGCTGCAGCTACTCTACTCAGTGACTAGAAACAGCATTAGAAACAGACGATCCTAAAGTTTTGTTACTTAATCTGCTCATACTTTTAAATCTTGTGTTAGCCTCCGCAAACCTATTTGGAGAAGAAGCAAGATACTTTAAGAAAATATAAAGAGAATTCTAAAGCAGAAGGAATATTGAGGTTGTAGTTCAATCATTTTAATGTAACATTTAGCTTTTGCCCATCTAAAGCACAATTAGGAATTAGGCTAAATTCTTTCCAGTATTCCATGAATGTTCTAGTTTTTTAATACTTTATAATGTGCATCTCACTTGCTACTGGTTGGCATAATTATGCACAGGAATTCTAGAAAGTTATCAATCTGTGCTGCTTGCTGGTCATGCGTATGATCCCAGTTAAGCATACTAGTGTTCCGATTTATTATTAAATCTGGATCAGCATGCCCTTGTTATTCTAACTCATCAAACTTCACATAAATATATTTTCAATTGTGAATTAAGTGTACATAAATTATAATAATGCATCTCTACCTTCATACCTTGAATGCCAAAAGCTAATTATGCATAAGTATTTCATTTTAAGTACTATAAAAAGTATAAATACTCTTCTGACATATAAGTATAGATTTTAAAGATATGGGACTGTTTCTGTATTTTTGCATAACTCAATACACTTCTCTAGAACAAAATATTTCATTTAGTAAAGCTTTATAAACTGTATTAAAAAGAAGCAGGGAAACATTTTTTAACACAAAACAGAAGTGACTTCATTCTTTTTTGACATCAGAAATGTTAAAAGTTGATTCCTAGTATTTGTTATACATTTTTGTAGCAAATGGTAAATACCACAGCTTACCAAGTGTAGAATGTAGAGGCTGTCATGCTGATAGATTATATAGTGACACACCATTTTTGTCTGTAGGCATTACATCAATTTATATATAACAGCGATTTTCAACCTTTTACCACCTCATGGCATACATAAGTGAATTACTAAAATTCTGTGGCACACCAATAAATTTCTTTTTGCCAATTGACAAAAAAATAGGTAAAATTTTGATTCATTCATAGCAGATGGCTGTTGTTGTGTTGGCCATTGTCATTCTTTTTATTTGACAATCTAAGGGAAAAGAGGTCAGTTCCCCTGACTAAATAGTCAAGTATTGCATGTTTTAAAAATTCTTCTGGCACACCTGTATGCCTTGCAGCATACCAGTTGAAGATCACTGATAGACAATATTATATAACAAGTGGAATATGTGTTTCTATCTAGAACAACATTTTATTTCTACTGTGAAGACTTTTGTTATACCTTACTTGCTACAAAGTTTTATACCCTCAGAAATAGATCATGTCGTTGTTACTTTGATTTAGCATTTGCATCATAAGCATAATAATGATGTTTCTTTTATGCTCCCTTCTAAGGGCTGTCAGTCACTTGAAATTGATGGAAACCAAGCTCTTGAATCCACTTCCCTTGGTAATATAAAATTCTATACCAATGCTTTATAACAATTACCAAAACTCTCCTGCAGCCAGATATTTTTAATAGGAGTTGCTACAAGAAAATGTTTAGTCTGTAAAATTTTGGGACACAGTTCTTCATTATAGCACAATGTGTGTGAACGTGCACACACAGCTTTGTGTATTTGTTCTTTTTACACAGTCCTTCCAACTCTTAAAAGTACTGTAGTCTGGTAGTGCCTCAAATGTTGGTAATTTTTTTTAATTTATAACTTTTCCAGAATTTGTTTTTGTACTTTAAAGTTTCTCAATTAGATTATTTCTAGTTGAGCTGTAATTTGAATGCATTGTTCTCAGGGCTGTTTGTGCTAAGAGTTGAAGTTTTATTATTTTAAAGCTAACTGCCTAAAAGTATATTGCAGAATTTTCCCAAATTGTATTACATACAAATAAAAAAATCCTTAATATCAACGTGCTTCAACTACATAGTAAGTATTCAAAAACAAAAAAGGCAACATTAGTGTCATCTGTACTGGAAACTTGTCATATTTCTTTCGTTTTAGAATAGAATTTAGTAGTCTTATCTTAGAACCCTTTTCCTCATGATATATCTGAAAGCATTTCTTTAGCCTGGACCCAAAGATAGTTTCAGAGCCAGACATTGATGTATTGGTTCTCAAACGTGTTTAGGGACAACAGATTGAGATTCATAAAGCTCTTTTAGGTACATTAAAATGTTTACATATTGAGTTCTATAATATGAACTAGTAACAGACTTAACTATGAGTGAATATGGCCCTTAAGAAGGGTAAGAGCAAACTGTAGGCATATTTTCATAAATAGTATATTAAACTGATCAACAGTTTAAAATTTTCTAATATCATTTAGACATGCTCGTTCACAGTTTTCAAGCCTTTTTTCTCCTACCATTCAGACAAGTTGTAGAAAAGAAAGCTTAAGGAAAAATTGTAGAAAATCTTAAAATTGAGAAAATTCAATTTATTAACTTTATTAAATTTTTTTCTCTGAACTGGGTATATGGCATCATTATTTGATTTTAGCAGGGAACATTTGGGCCCAGCTTACGGAACACAGATGTTCTGTGGGAAGGAGCATGGCTTGGAGTCACTCTGTAATTTAATGTTTTTCCATTAAAAAATATCTGAACATCAGTTTAACTACCAAGGAAGTCAAGTGCCTGAAAAGTGCTGTACACGTCACGTCTAGCTAGCACATTTTCCTTATGCAAAAGATGCATCTTACAGCAATGCGTACCAGGCTTGCACCTGCTAGAAGCAGACTTGGCCATCCACCGCTACTCTCTCCTGAGAACAGGTCAGAACCTATTTTACAATTGAAAGAGAGGTTCTTTTATTTATATGAAGTCCCTAAAACTGTTTCTTTGTAGTGTAGTGGTAGACTTAGGTTGATCTTAGTTCAAGATTGCACTTTTTAATAAACTATGTTCAGTGATGATGATACAGTTTGTCCTAAGTCATAGCTGTGATCTTTCTTGAGAAGAATTCTATATTATGGTTAACATCTATTATAAGCACTCATGCTTGTTACAAAGTGTAATGCGAATGACTAGTTCTACACTAGTATAATGAAAATGACTAGTTCTGTACTATTATGTGCTTTTGTCATCCTCTCCAAAATAAAATAGTATTATCTAATCCAATGGCACTTTATTAGTAATACCTTTTATTGTGTTAGGTGTAGGGGAACTCTTGCTTTTACCTGCAGAGACTCATGTTTTAGCTAAAATTTTAAAATTATAAGAAATGTAATATGGTTATTGGTTGTAACTGTGCATTTTACATTTCAAAAATGGGTAAAATTTAAATGTTAAGTCTTTGGCTATACTAAAATAATTGTTGAAATTCTTTGAAATGTGGATGGTAAACTTATCAATTGCAACTTTTTGTTACATTAAAATATATTTGTCTGTTAACTTCATCGATTATATTAAATAAAAATAAATTTAACAGCTTGCACTATTCTTGTATATATACATTTCTAAAAAAATTTATACTAGAAAATTGTATGAATTAATATGTATACCATTGTTAAAAGGAAGTCTCACTTTTGTATTTAATGTGTCTTTATATTCTAGGTTTTTTTCTAGAGAACGCCCCTGCTTTATGGCCTGGAATATTAATTTCTAAATTTTAGTTCCAGATTTAGGTACATTGTCGTTTTTAGTTTTAAATTTTTAGGAACTTTTTAAATATGTACATAGTCACATGGTTCACAATTCTATAGGTACAAGAGTGAAAACATCTCATCTTCCTTCCAGACATATTAATGCATGAAAGGTTAATGGTCCTGCCCTACCCCTGACCTCCTAGGATCTGAGGAATTCCTGCCCTACCAGGGTTGCTCTTCTCTTTCTACAGCGATACAAACGGTATGAGAGTTGCTGAAGCAGACTCCACACTTTTTCCAGTCCTCTCCATGTCTCAGCAACACCATCTAGACAGATTCATCCCTACATGGCTCCATAGTTTCTTCCTTTTCTACACTCTACTATTCTAGGACATCTTTCTCACTCCCTGACATGTGAGCCATGCCAAGACTATTACGACAGTTGTCACTTTATATCCATGATTGGTAGTACTGATATTTTAACCTTTCAGGTCCAGTGAACATAATTAGGCAGTGAAAGAAGCACCATAGTCTCCCACCGCTCAACCCCACTCTTTATTGCCACCTGCAAATACCAGTAGCTGTTTCCCAGAGGTAGGAATGGGAAGGGGCAAGGGTTGGGGGGACAGTGAAAAGGGGCTAATTGTGTGTTACATATCAGCACGTCAGTCTATACTTCCCTGGCCCCAACCTCATAATTAAACATTCTGTCCAAATAGAGGGTGTCCTACAGAATTGCCACATTGAATCCATGCTTCCTGTCTAACATGTGTTCTGCTTGTGTTCCACCGGAAACTGAAAACATCTTTCCCACAAACATTTGGAAGTATCAGTTAATACTGCTGGATGTGTATAGGTTCAAAGGACTCACCTACAAAGTTATTATCAATCCATTGTCCAATTTGAGAGTTATTTCTAAATCTAGTCAAATGACTTTGGGCCACGCAGTGGGCACTTCCTAGTATCACAGTGATTGTGTCCCAGTGTTTAAGGGCCAAAAAGGCTTGGCAACCTTAGTTGCCACCAGATCCCCAACACAGATCTAAATGGGAGAAGGGAGGTTCATCTATCCAATACTGCCATCTAAACAAAACACTGCCTTGTTTGTTCACAATTAAGTGTGTCTTTCAATTAAATTTCACTCTAGTTCATTTTAATTGCTGTACAATCAATAGTGAGAAATATTTTGGAATATATATAATGAATTATTTAGAAAATATATATTTATATATTTATACATAAACAATCACCCTCAAATTAAAATATATACCTTTCTTCAAAGGCAAATGGAAATTTCAGGAAAAAAGATATTTGGGCAGAAAGCAGTAGTTTCTATAAATTAAAACTATTAACAGTGTAATACCAATCCTAAGTGAAATGGAAAACAAAAGTAAAAATAAAGACTTCTACCTGAAAATGTAAAACTTATTACATAATTCTAGAATGAAAAGGGAGCTACAATCAAAGAATTCCTGAAAAGTAATGATAATGAAAACACTATACATCAAAATCTATGTAAAGCAATATAAAGGGAAATTTCATAGGCTTAACATCTCCATCGATAAAAATGACAGAACATAAAGTGAATTAAATTCCTAAACCAGACAACTAGAAAAATAACAGCAAAATAAACAAAAAGAGTACAAAGGAAGGAAAGATAAAGGCAGAAAGTGAGGTAAATAGAAAAATAGCCAATTCAAAAAAATTCTGGTTCTTTGAAAAATTAACAAACCACTAGCTAATTCAGTTAAGGTAAATACAGGAAGAAAGCAAATATAAAAAATGAGAACATGACAAGGAAGAATAGCTAATGCAGAGGAAATAAAAACAAGAAATTCTATCAAATCTAGAAACTGAGATGATATAATTTCTTAGGGAAATATTACTAGAATCAACCTCAGTAGAAACAGAAATATAAAGTTTAAACAGAACAACTTTAATAAAACAAAGTTATCAAAAAGCTTTCACAAGAAAATCCAAACAAACCAGCCAAAAACCGAGATGAGGCCCAGATATTTTCAAAGGGAAATTTTACCAAAACCTCAGGACCAGATGGTTTCCCAAAGTTAAATACATTGGTTCAAAGCATAGAAAATAAGAACTTCTAAATTCTTTTTATGACAAAAGCATAACATTTTATCTTAAAGTTGATTTTCAAAACAACAAAAAGAAATTAAACATTCATGCAAATACCCTAATATACTATTAGCAATTAAACTCAAATACCACATGAAGAAAAGAATACATATGCCTATGTGGAGTTTATAGCAGAGATGCAGGAATAGTTCAACATTAGGAAGTCTATTAATATAATTCACTCCCATGGAAAGTAGATTAATATCTTAGAAAACCTTAATAGTAGTTACTATATTGATAAGTTTAAAGGGAAAGATATTATTTTCTACATAGATACTAAGAAAACTTTAAATAAAACAATGTCCATTCTCAAAAAAAATCTCGAGAATATTGAGGTGAATGAAAATATAAATATATCTATGTCTATATGTGTTAACATGGTATATATAACATGTATGTATGCATGTGTGTATATAAATGACCAGGGACCCAATAAAAATCGGAACTATCTTCTGGAGGGCAGGCCCCTTGTAGTACAGGTTCCCCGCACTAGGTGAGTGTTCTAGGGACCCATCTGTATCAGTGCACCAGCTGGCATTGTTGTGAGAGGCTGCATTTGGCTTTTTTTTTGAAGACCCTTTCAATGCATCGTGGCAGATGATTGAACACCATGCTGGTGGTTCAGCAGGTTTTTACCAGAAATGGCCATACCCTACCCTCCCCGTTCATCTGATCTCACCCCAAGTGACCCTTTTTCTCCCCCTGATAAAAAAACGTCCTCAAAGGGAAACATTTTGCCAACGTGGAAGAGGTAAAATAAAAACAGCAGAAGCACTAAAAGGTACCAAAATTGAATTCAAAAACTGTTTTGAGCAGTGGAAAAAATGTCTCAATAGAGTGTATCAAAAACAGAGTGCTTTGAATGTGACTGAAGTTTAAACATGTAAGAATATGTAATTTTTTACAAATAAATTCTGGGTTTTGGGGGTCCCCTCTAGTATGCATATATGTATATGTATATGTGTATGTGTATGTGTGGAAAATCCCTAAAGCTAGTCTTTTACTTAATGGAAAATCACTAAAGTCATTCTCTCTAAGATCAAGAACTAGGCAAGACCACTATACAGTGTTCTGGAAGTATTAATAGATGCTATTGGACAATAGAAAACAAACATATTGGAACTGTAAAAGTAAAAGAAAAAATAGAACTTTTCTATTTTCAAGTGACCTGATAATATACCTGGAAAATCCCAGATAATCAATGTAATGCTAATGCAAAAATTATTCACTAAGGTAGCAGGATATATAGTTAGCAAAAATAAACAGCTTTTATACAAAAATAATAACCAATTAGAAAATATAATGAAGAAAATCTTGTTTACAATAGCAACAAAAAGATAAAATATAATAATAAAAATACAAAGAACTGTCCAAAATCTATGTGAAGAAAAGTATAAAAGGCTACTACTGAAAGACACAAAGGTGACTTAAACAGTAGAAAGGCATTATTTATTCTTGGCTGAGAGAGAAACATTATTAAGACAATAGTTCTACCTATTTTATAAATTTAAGGCACTCCTAATTTTTTTAAACAAGCTTTTTAGGGAGTTAAACAAGTTGCTAAAAAGTTTATGTGAAAAGATAAGCATGAGAGAGCAGCTAGGAAAACTGACAAGAAGAGAGCTGTGAGGGGGACCAGCACCACCAGAAATTCAAACGCACTACAAAGCTTCTGCAAGCAAAAGAGCAAGGTACTGGCGAAGGACTAGAATGACTAATAGGATATATATGGAGAGAAAGAGAGACAGAGAGAAAAATGTAAATAAATGGAGAAAAATGTTGGTTATAGGTAAAAATCTAGATAAACAATATATAAATTTATGTATATATCCTTCATTCAGATTTTATATATTCATATGTAGGTGTGTGTATGTTCCTTGAATTTTTTTATAACTTTCAGTTAGTGTACAATAATTTCTAAATAAAAATTTTTTAAGATTCAAAGAAGTAGGTTTAGAACCACTCAATTCTGTAAATGTATGTAATAGCTTGCATAAGCTAAAGGATATACACGTAAACATACATGCCCCCCAACATGTTAACTAGCAATTTCTAAATCGGTGGGATTTTAGATATCATTATGCAATTTCTTTCTTTCTTCTCATTTCTTTTCATGAGCATTGCTTTTGGCATAAGAAGCTAATTTTGTTGATTTAAAAAGATTCTCAAAGCATTGTTTATAATAGAAAAACTGAAATAATCTAAACGGCCACCAACAGGTGAACAACTAAGCTGTAAATGACAAGTCATACAAGTAAGCAATGGACAGATATACTGGTTCTCATTTTAAAGACTGATCAATTATTCAAAATTCCTGTGGCACTGTATAACAAGAAAATCTTACTTCTGAAACTGCATTTGTTTAAAATAATAAAAACAGTAACTTAGGCTTTCCTAAATACACAGAGAGAGAAGATGCATTGAAGCAAATGTAAATTTTGTAATCATAGTTTTTAATGCTCTCTAATCAAATTAGTAAAAAAAAAAAAAAGGGTGAGCAGCAGTGACTTCAGGTCTTATTATTCCTGCCTGGTGCCCTTGGTTTTCACCTAGGAGTGCCTAACAAAATATTCATAGGCCAAAAGTGTTAAAAGCAAGGTTCTTCAGTAGTAACAAGTCTCTCTTCAGAGCCTCGACATTGTTTGCACA